TGCGCGGCGTTTCACCCACTTAGAATGGGGATCTCTGCACAGTGAACTCCTGAACAGCGCGGCACCCCTCGGTGCGGGGGTCCTTGCCCTTTTTGTAATGACATCAAAATATCTTGTTACTTTCCAATGTAATAATCAACAATTTGCCCACACATCTGGAGTCCCTGTCTGCATTGGAACATTGGACTATATTATTACTTTCCACTCAAATAATCAGCGGCTTATTGATGTCAACACTTGACTTCCGCCCAACTCGGACCCTGACGCGGCCCCACGCGGCTCAGCGCGGCAATTCCTCCCAGCCCTTCAGGGATCATTCACGACGTGGACATATATGGTGCGCGCTTATAATTTCTGCGCCACATTCGTGTGCTTCTCAGTGATCATCTATTCCGACAAGCAGGACTTGCTCATTGAACTCAAGGAAATAAGGAGAATATAGCTGAAATGCAGCGTTGCGCACATGTTGCCCGGATCCAAGCTCGGACGTGGGCATCGTCCACCAAGTTTGTAGTACCACGACTCGCGGTTAAGGCTCCTGTGGTTCGACGACAATACGCTAGCGGTGTAAAGCCTTACCCGCCTGGCTCAACAGGATATCGGGTCTCAACGGTGTTCACAACGATGGTGGTCATTGCTACTGCTGCGACAGCCTATGCACTGTACGTTCATCATCGAAAGCTCCGAGAGTCAGATTGATTGACATAAACCCTGGATAGCTATGACTTCTACAGCGCTGCCACGACATATCCCAAAAGTATCAGGCCAGAGCTCAGAAGAGCAATAAAGGCAGAGCACGACAGGCCAAAATCTGCAGCCCGATGGTACCGACAAGCGTGGGAGGCCGCACGCAAGCTGGACGCATCGGAACTCGGCAGTTCATGGCCGAAGAAGCTCTCAGGTCTCGCGATTGCTCTTGCAACAAGACTTGAAGGCAACAAAGAATTCTCAGAGGCGCTCCAGGTGATGCACACCGGATGGCAGGATCTCGAGGAGCCAGCGAAGACAGATCCGGAGATGCGAGCGCGCAGGGTGGCCATGGCGAGCAAGATGTCAGATCTAGCCGCTGCTGTAGGCGATGCCGTGATTGAAGAGGAATGGGCCGTCTGGGCAGTAGAGGAGGTGCTTAGAGCCGGAATTGAGGAGAAAGGTAAGGAGAAGGAGAAAGAGAATGCAGACGATGAGGACCTTGCGCTGCCAAAATGGGTCGGCAAGGCGGAAACTGCGAGTCTACTAGAGAGGCTGGGGTCGATTTATGCCAGGCAAGGACATGCCGAGTACGTGCATAACCATGTTCGTTCTGTCCTCATGCTGACAGACGAGAAGATATGCTGTCCCTCTTTACCTCCAAGCCCTTGGAGAAATGCCTCTTCAAGTATCACCGAAAAATTCGTTCTTCTCAACTTCATCACAACAGGCAACACCCACCTCTCTCTGCCAAGCGGCTGTTCTATTCAACAACCTCTCCGAGCTGTTCGCCCACCGTGCGGCGCCAAATACGGCTGAGCTGAAGCAGGCGCTGCAATGGGGACATATGGCAATCGAGGCACTGAAAGAGGCGAGCAAGATGGGTTTGAACAACGCGGAGGACCCGGATGGGTGCAGGAGGACCGGTGTGGTGGTACAGACAAACCAGGCGACACTGATGGAGGTGCACTCTCTCCGCAAACGGCATGCGTACAGAACTGATCGCATTGTGACAGGTGCATGGGGACTTACGATCTGCCGAGGTGCTCTTCACATCCGCCCATAGACTGGCGGACCAGATACGATGGGGAGAGGCGCACAATCAGGCGATTACGGGCCTCGAACGCGTACAACGAGCACAAAGTAATTCATCCTCGAGCCCCACGCCTGGTAAGGATGCGAGGAAATGAGATAACGAGCATGCATTACACCCCGGCAACACAACCCTGTACAGTAGCATAAATGTAATGCTGCTATCGTCATGCGTCAGCATCTGGTATTTCTTCAATGAAGGCTTGCTGAGTTCCCCCGAAGGAAGGAGTGGGAGGCGGGCCCATGCCGGGTAGCACACTTGGCATACGCTTCGTGCCTGATGCTGGGGTCGGCGGCGCGGAAGCCCTTCTCTTCTCTGCTCCGGGCGGTGCGCCGTCCTTGAGCGCCTTCTTGCTCTTCTTGCTCTTCTTTTTCTTGGGGTAGTCCCACTCGTACAAAGGCACAAAAGACTCAAACTGTTAACAGCTTCAGGACGTGATCGGGACAGAAAACAGAAACAGCGTACGAATCCAACATCTGCAAAGAGTTGTGGAAAGATCCAGAGACCAGGTGGTAGAACAAGCCACGTAATCACATAGAGGATTAAGCGCACAATCGTCATGGCGAAGAACAGCCCCAGTAGGCCGAGCATGCCCATCGATAGATAGTATGCTCCAATGCGCATGCTCAACGGCCATAATGGGTACATCACACCCGCAAAGATGACGGCGACCATCACCAACCCTCCGAGGTACGTCGTCAGTTGTGACCCATCCATCAACCACACGTAGTAGTCTGGTGGAAGGAAAGCCTGCTGTCGGATGATTTGTAACGTTCGTGGTGCTTTCTTCGTCGATGTGACCTTGTCACCGCGTTGCACGCGTAGGAAAAAGCCTTTCGCGTTCAACTGATTCATCAGCTGTGTCGCTTCTGCTTCGGAGGTCACCTTCGGCGCTTTCTTCAGCTTGCCATATGCAGGCGACAAGAGCGCTTTGATAGCAGCTGATCCTAGAACGATGCGGTCAGATAAGAGTAGGCATCGTTACGACATTGGACAATACCTTTGAAATAGTCTTTTCTTTGTCCATCAAGGACACCCACGCGTGTCTTCTGACCCGACTTGGATCGCAACCAATTGGCAACCGCCTTGTGCTCTGGTGATGCAGTCGCTTGGTTGGCAGCAAAGGGCGCCATTCTGAGTTCTCGTTCCAGTCAACACGGTGCCCGTGCAGAAGTATGACAGTAAGAAGTCAAGGTCTGTGTGCGCTTCTGTGCTGCCTCGAGCGCCAGATTATTACAAGTTTTGTGAATGTAGTTTCACCCCTTGCAATTGCTGTACTGTGCGAACCCTTGACACGTCTCTCTGCTGTGATGCATTTAATTATCAAGTGGCTGTGTTCTACTCACGTGCCTCTCAAAGGAACGCGTCGCGTCGTGCTCCTCGACATTGAGCTCGCTCACGTCGACCACCTCAACTTGTACAGCTGCTGCGATAATATGCACGAATTCAACCTGCAGGACGAGATACATGCGCTGCAGAATGATCCTTATGTCATTCCGAACGAGGTCGACCCTTCCGATGGGAATGTGGGCAGGGCGTTGGAGAAGGCAGTGGAGGCCGTCGCAGAAAACATCGAGAATGTAGGAGATGAGGAGACGTGGGATTCGTTGAGGAGCTTTTTGAAGTAAGTATTCTTGGAATGTTTTGTATCATGCATGGACTGAAGTATTCACAGACATTCGGAGCACTTGAACGGCGCGCAGCTTTCAAAACTCTTGGATTCTATCTCTTCCGGCCTGCAATCAACAATCGACCAACTCTCCCACGTCATTGAAGGTGAAGATCCCTCATCATTCCTTCCATTCAAGCCTACGTTAGAACGGTTTGCGTTTTTACTTCAGTGGTTCGTGACTGTGGCAGAACGGGCTGCAGCTACGGCACCAGGGGATGCAGCGAGCCTGGCGAAACCAAAGGGTCGGGGTGCGGCGAAGAAGAAGGCGGATGGCAAGAAGCGCGGAGAGTGGAGTTGGGACACTCAGATTGCACCGACATTGACGTTGATGGCGAAGACACTGAAGCTGAGGACACACAGGTTGTGGAGCACCAGCGCCGAGCGGGACGCGTTTGTCAAGTGAGTCGACTTCACTAACACGAGTGATCGCAATTAAGCGTTGAACAGTTGTTTCACACGCCCTGCATACCAAATCGCACAAAGTGAGACCTACATGAAAAATCAAGATATTCGCCTGGCCGTCTACAAAGTCATATGCTTGGCGGTTAAGCAACACGCGCAGGGCTTCAGTGCGCAGACAAGCATCATGCAAAACCTACAATACTTCGAGCATCTATCCGAGCCGATGGCGGAAGTGCTCGCGGTCTTGGCAAAAGACTTCGATCACGCTCAACTTTCCGAAGAGATCCTACGGGAAATCGCGGCAAAGAGCTTCAGCGCCCAAGATACGAAAGGTCCCCGCAGCTTTGGCCGTTTCCTTACTCGCATCACCGAGTTACTGCCACGGATCGTTCTGAAGCAGATCTCGCTTCTGCTGACTCACCTCGACAGCGAATCTTACCCCATGCGCATGTCGATCATCGAGATCCTCGGGACGCTGATAAAGGAGTTATCATTATCCGAGGAAGGCGAGCAGGACGCGCGCGAAAAACAGATCGAGAAACTGTTCGAGCTTCTCAATGAGCGATTTATGGATCTGAACAGTTGGGTACGGGCCAAGGTCATCACAACCCTGACAAAGTTATGCGAGTGGGTCTCATTCGATCTCTTCTTTGAATCGGTGCTGAGTTATGCGCAGTCTACCGACAAAGTTCCCAAAGCAACGGCAACAGATTACAGAACTCACTATCGCTGCTTTGGAAGATAAATCCAGCAGTGTACGACGATATGCTATTGCCCTCATCACACGGCTTATCCTTACACACCCATTCGGCCTATTGCACGGAGGGCCTCTCAACCTTGCCGCATGGGAAGACAGGTACAAGAAAGTCAAGGATGAGCTTGATGCCCTGGAGAAGAAGATGGGTGTTTTAGAAGGTCAGCGGGACGTTGGTGAGGATGAGGTCGAGGAGGACAAGGCAGAAGGAGAGCGAGAAGACGATGATGCGGATGAGAACGAAGTCGAGGAAGACGCCGGAGAGGACGATGAAGAGAGGGAAATGGACGAGGTCGAGCCTACTCCTAAGAAGCCGAAAAGATCGAAGAAGTCTAAGGCCCGAGCTCCCCGCCAGTCGGAGCCTCTCAATCTCGCTGCTGTCTCTGAAGAACAGGCTCTGGCAGCCATGGATGGTAGCATGATGATCAAGCTCCGCCTCACCAAGCGTTACTATGCCGATGCCCTGCGCTTCATCCGGATTATCGAACATTCGATGGATCTCCTGAGTACTCTTCTTGTGTCAACCAACAAGGCGGAGGTTTTGGAAGCGATGGAGTTCTTCAGGGTTGCGCACGAGTACGAGTTCGTCTCTGCTCAGGTCCGTCATAACGTATATTTTGGTATTCGATGCTGATCCAGCCTTCATCTTAGATCGGTATCAAGAAGATGGTACATTTGATCTGGACGAAAGATAATAATGTTGTCAGTGAAGATGGGAAAGAGCTTAAGGGCATTCGTGCACGCCTCCTTGAGGTTTACCGAAACCTATACTTCGATGCCCCTCCTGATCAGGATTCCAAGCACGTTGTCAACAGAATTGCGAAGAATCTCATCGAGTACGTACCACTGCACAACCTGTGTAACACTTGCTGACCCTCGTGCAGGTTGACTTACTCTGCCACCTTGGCCGAACTGACATCACTGGAAGAACTTTTGCGGACGATGATGGACGACGGTCAGATCCAAATGGACATCGTTCAAAAGCTTTGGGACGTGTATGGCACGGAACGTGAAATTCCACGCCAACAACGACGAGGGGCGATTATGATTCTTGGGATGTTGGCTGTGGCAAAGCGAGAAGTTGTCACGGAGAGGGTCGAAACCCTCCTCAGGATCGGACTGGGATCGTTCGGCAAAGCAGATCTTAACCTCGCACGATTCTCTTGCATTGCACTACAGCGCGTCAGCGGCAGCGCCAAGAAGGTCAAAGGGTCTCTCGTGGACAAGACGATGCGCTTACCTATGGATAATGCTATCTTCCGGAAGCTGGAGGAGGCGATCGAGTGGCCTTGCGCGTCAGCAGCATGGTGAGTTTGACCCTTGAGTTTGATCACACATCCTGACATGTTTGAAGGTTTGGGATGGCGGAGCAAGCCATAAACACCATCTATCTGCTGGGAGAGCAGCCAGACACTCTTTGTCAAGAGATGGTGAAGAGCTTGACACGAAAAGCCTTTGCCCCCCTCCCAGAAGATCGCAGCCCCAGACCGCAAAAGGAGGTGCCCACACAGCCCGGTGTACCGCCCACACCTGGTTTCAATCTACTTGACGACAACGAAGTGACGGCCACTTCGATTGCAATGAACACCCCTGGTTCAACAACCAGCAATGATATTGGCGATGCCTTCGCGTTGAGTCAACTCGTCTTTGTGGTCGGGCATGTGGCGATCAAGCATATTGTTTACCTTGAGCTTGTTGAGCGTGAGCTGAAGCGACGGAAAGATGAAGCAGCCAAGGGTAAGTGCCCAAACGGATATTCAACACGCAGCATGTTCTGATAAAGGCGTAGACAAAAAGGCCAAAACGAAGGGGTCGGCGAAAGAGGGCGAAGAACTGGAGCAAGTCGCTGGAAATGCTGAGGACGACATTGGTGACATTGTCAGCGGTGTTCGTGAACGGGAGTTGCTATACGGCCCGGCGTCGCTTCTCGCGTTGTACGGCCCAATGTTGAAAGAGATATGCGGCACACCTCGCGTGTACAAGGTTGGTGATTCCTTTCACAGTCCTAGTCGCTGCCTTATTTCTCCGGCAGAATGTTTACTTGCGACGAGCTGCAACCATCGCCCTGAGCAAGTTCATGTGCGTTAGCTCATTATACTGCGAGGACAACCTGCTGTTGCTCTTCAAAATCATGGAGACGTCCCGTGACCCAACGATGAGAAGCAACATCGTGATCGCTCTCGGGGATGTTGCCATCTCCTTCAGCAATATGATTGACGAGAATAGCAATCGCCTATACGATGGCTTGGCTGATCAGGACCTGACTGTGAAGAAGAACACACTGATGGTTCTGACTCATTTGATCTTGAACGGGATGATCAAGGTTAAAGGCCAGCTCGGCGAAATGGCGAAGTGCTTGGAAGATGAGGAAACGAGGATTGCAGATCTTGCCAAGCTGTTCTTCAGCGAGCTTGCCTCTAAGGATAACGCTGTGTATAATAACCTGCCCGACGGTGAGTAGCTTTTGTGGACTATAAAGATTCCTCTGACATCAGTGACAGTGATCAGCCACCTCTCCACGGGTGAACACGCTGTCGACGAGGAGACGTTCCAGCGGACGATGAAGTATATTTTCAGCTTCATCGAGAAAGAGAAGCAAGCAGAGAACATCGTGGAGAAACTATGCCAGAGATTCCGGCTTGCAAAGGACGAGCGGCAGTGGCGAGATATCGCCTTCTGCATGTCGATGCTGCCGTTCAAGTCGGAGAGAAGTATGAAGAAACTTATCGAAGGGCTACCGTTCTATCAAGACAAGTTACATGAGGAGACGGTATTCAAGCGCTTTAACGAGATATTGTCCAAGGTGCGCTCCGTTTAACTGCTCAAGCACGATAGGTTGCTGACGCCGTTGTGCTGTAGGCCCGGAGCAACAAACAAGCGACCAAGCCTGATACGGAGCTCAAAGAGTTCGAGCAGATCCTGCTGGACTTCAAGGCAAAGGGCGAAGAGGACCACCAGTTCCAGGAGCAGGTCGGACATCACGCGGAGAAGGTCAAGAAGAGGGCAGTAAAACGAGGTACGAGATTCATTCTGCCAGAGAGGGGCCATGAATACTGATTAGGGCTGTAAAGCGCGACAGAAAAGGCGAGATTCGGATGGGTGGAACTGATCTCAGTCGATGTTGTTTGTGGTGGATCTGTTGTATTTCTAGCATTGTAGAACACCCAGCTAATGAATCTTTGGTTTCCGTCAATCCGTGGTTATCTCGCGCATCAGCAAGTGGCGCATGATGTTGTTGATGACTTTGTCGTGGATAATAAGGAGAGTAAAGTACAGGCCATTCCTAGCATCCGAGTCACTACGTACAATGCATCATATTGTAGTGAATAGATGATTGTCTCGTAAGAGTGAGTTTGCGTCGGATCCTTCGGAGAATCGGTCGAGGCTGATGACTGTGACAAAGCGGGCCGGTTCATCAAGATAGCCACAAACTGACACAAAGATCTGCTTCGGAGTCTAGAGCATTGTTCTGTAAAAAGTGTAAACTTGTCACCCAAGCAACGAGGCCTGGCCCAAATTCTACGAATGACGGAAAAGGAAAAGCAAACGTCGCTGGAGACGTAACCGAATTTAAAATAAAATTGATATCGTCTGCGGTGCCGGATTCGGATTCGGCTGTGCGAGACACCGGGGAGTTTGATCCCGTGGTGAGCGCGTGGAAAGTAAACGGAAGCAGAAGCCGTTAAGGAACGGCGATTCGACAGTGAGCAGCGACGACAACGACGACGACGACGACGGTGAGGACAGCATTACTGTCGACCACCTCACTCTACTAGTATTACTGTGCTTTATTTCAACTTCTTACTGGTCTTCGTCTGCTAGAGGTGTAGTGACTATCTGGTCAACCACTAGGGAGAAACGGCATTTGGAGTATCACACTCATTGAAGATCAAAGCGCTGTCATTGGCTCATCACCGACGACCGTCAAGCTTGCTAGCAAGGCGAATATCCTGATCAATTATAACTCCCCAATCATCCATCTCACCGTCATCCAATGGCGACACTCACTCAGACAGCCCCGCCCCGAACGTCCTCACCTCTTCCTCCTGTGACAGAAGGTAAATGGCCGCGCACAGCCTCGCTTCCCTCCCCTGCCACGCCCGCCAAAGCAGGCCCACAGCGGGCTGCCACCACACCCTCCCCGAGGCTGGGGAAGGGTTCTCTTGTACCCGATGACAGCGTGGAAGGTTCTGAGTTGGCATGGGAGAGCAGAGCTGTAAGGCAGAGGGAACTGGAACTGGAAAAGCAGATGGGAAGGCAGAGAGAGCCAACCGTGAACCCTTATCACCTTCTTTCTGAACAACTTGTTTCCTCCCACAGTCCACCACCGCACATCGTTCGCGTCACACCTCATCGAGTAGACATGCGACCGCCCTTCCCTGAGCCGTCGCACGAGCACTTTCTCCCGAAGCTGGCACACGAAGTCCGCGACACCGTTCATCGGGCAGTGGATCATGTCGCCCACCCCCATCACGACAGCTCTGCATTGGCGATGAGCGCCGCTGCCGCTCCTGGCGAGAGGCAGATGGAAGTTCAGGTAGATCCTTTGAGGAGGAAGGTTTCACTCTCCCCTGCACGGCACGGTAGCGGTGACAATACCACCCCACCCACCGCACCGCTGGCATCAACATCAGCCTCCCCCCCCATGCTCGCTCATCTCCAACTCGCGCGAAGGACGAAAGACCTGCCTCCCGCGCCCATGGGCGCTCCGCCTTCCCCGCCGGCCTCTGAGCGCGCAGCCAACGACGGGCCCGACCTGGAAGACGTGCTCGAGCTCGATGAAGAGGAAGCGCTCTCCGCCTCGGATGGAACGGGCGACATGCCCCCTCTGAGTGCGCCTAGCCACGTAGGAACGTCTTCTTCTCCAACAACAGAGAGCACGCTAGCGACCCCGCTTCCCGGTCAATCGTTTACAGCATCTCACCCCCTACCGCAATTGCCAGGTCCAGGACGGCAGCCAACGCCGAAATACTTCCCGCCTTCCCCCGTCACCCCACGCACAGCCCGTGGTCGCCGATCTCCAGAGCGTGCGGCTTCCGATCCCTCCCAATCGCAACAAGCGGACTACTTTGCCCCTCGCACCGGCGACGGGATTCTTCTTCCTTCCCCGACGCCCAAATCGGGCAGTACCCCCGGTGGCGTCCAGCAGCTGCCACGCCTTCCATCAAGCGCATCAGCCCCGTATCCCAGAATACTGAGAAACGACGAGCCGCTGGAGGACTCTCCAACGGGCACTCCCCCGGATCTAGGGCTTACTCCAGGTGCAGCGGGAGTGATGTTCACCCAAAGCTCCGTACCGGTCAGCTCAAGCTCCGCCCCAGATAGCTCCTTCCTTTCCCCCGAATCTGCGCGACAGCCGCATCCACACTCCTACTCCCACCCGCCACTCCACCCGCACGGCCAAGCGGGCTCGTCCCGCATGCCAGCAAGGAGGAATACGACTGGGAGTCGGCCGACCAGAGCGCTCATAGCCGCGCATAATGGGCATTTATCGGCTGGCGGGCATCCGCCTGGCTCTCCTCCCACGCCTCAAGCTCCCAGTGCTGGCACGGGCGTAGAAGGCGAACCTCAGGAAGGAGACGGAGAGCTGGACAGCGACATCCTCAAGATGCGCGACAGGATCGAGCGGGAGAGGCAGAGCAAGCGGGCTAAGGCGGCGCATGAGGCTGAGGAGGCGGAGAGGGAGCGACTTGCTCAGGCCGAAGTGGATCATGCGGAAGCCGTTACCCCACAAGCGGGCGCTACGGGGTTGAGGCGGACTGCTACCCGGCAAGGACTCGGCGCGCTGGGGAAGGAGAGCCAGGACAAGGAAAAGGAGACTGCGCTCATGGGCAACCTTATTGGGGAGAAACACCCGAATTATATCCTTATGTACAATATGTTGACTGGGATCAGGATTGGCGTGAGTGATGGCTTCTGAACGATGTAGACACCACTGACAAAGCTTTTAGGTGTCCAGATGCCAGGCAAAGGTCAAGCGGCCCTTGACTGACGACGATTATCTGGCTAAGCACAAGTATTCGTTTGATATGTATGTCGGTTACTACTGCGTGCATATATCTTTTGCTGACCTGCACCAGCGTTGGGAACGAACTCACTCCATCGGCCAAATATGATTTCAAATTCAAAGACTATGCACCATGGGTGTTCCGCGAGCTCCGGGAAGAGTGTTTCCATCTCGACCCGGCGGACTACCTTCTCTCCCTGACGGCAAAGTACATCTTGACCGAGCTCGGCTCGCCGGGCAAGTCTGGCTCGTTCTTCTACTTCTCATCCGACTATCGATTCATCATCAAGACGATCCATCATTCGGAGCACAAGTATCTCCGGTCCATCCTGAAAGACTACCATGAGCACATCAAGGCGAACCCGCATACCCTGCTGTCGCGTTTCTATGGCCTGCATCGTGTCAAGCTGCCTAGAGGAAGGAAGATTCACTTCGTGATTATGAACAACCTCTTCCCGCCACATCGTGATATCCACGAGACGTACGACCTGAAGGGCAGCACGGTGGGGCGTTCACTGAGCGAGGAGAAGATCCGACAGAATCCGCGGGCGGTGCAGAAGGATCTCAATTGGATAAACAACCACAAACAACTCGAGTTTGGCCCTGAAAAACGCGCGCTGTTCATCGAGCAGATTCGGAGGGACACTGAATTCCTTAGAAGAGCCAATGTGATGGACTACTCGCTCCTCGTCGGTATACACAACATGCAACGTGGGAACAGGGATAACCTGCGACGGAATACACTCCATGTCGTCCAGCCTCACGACGGGCCAATGCGGCGGAAGCCCTCGCAGATGAAGGGTCACAGGGACGTTGGCGCGTTCACTGCAGGAGCGATGCGTCGGGCAATTCGGCAGTCCGAGGTCAAGCCTGTAGAATCACAGACGAATCTCGCCGAGGAGAACCTATGGGACCGCCAGAACTTCATCTTCTACCAGGATGAGGGTGGGTACCGAGCGACGGACGAATACAACCAGCCTCTCCCAACGATCTACTACCTTGGTGTGATCGACATCCTCACGCCGTACACGCCGTTTAAGCAAGTGGAGAATTTTTGGAAGGGCCTGAGCGCGGATAGGCACAAGATCTCCCCTGTCCCGGCAGTTGAGTACGGCGAACGGTTTTGGCGGTTCATGAATGCCGTCACACGAGGTGGCGGGGGAGGTGAGAGCTTCCTGCCAGTGGACAAGCACAAGAAACGGTCGATCTTGGAGGACGGCGAAGACCCGGGAATGAGCGAAAAACGTCCTATTGCCCTCGTCGACCATGGTGTTGTTGCTGCTGCGAGCAGTGGATTAAATCAGCCTGGGATGAGCGCCAGTCCACCCTCGGCCGCCCAAATTGCGAACATGACAGAGAAACCGCTTCCGCCGCTCAACGGGAAAGACAAGGTCGAGTAGCCTTCTATGTTCCTCGGACTGGCTGTTTTTTTTCTTCCTCTTTCACTTCTGAAGTACAAGACGTGTACAAAACCCAGACATACATCAACCCACACGCTCCTTCGCTCTATTTTCCTATCACCTTTCATCTCCGCACATCCTTACAATACACAATCACTCCTAGACTAACACATCGCGTTCCATATACCCTACTTGTGTGCATACTATACGGAATCAAATCATCACCTGGTTTGACGCGTCGTGCCAGGATCAGATCGGGGTTTTGCCCTTCGCCCTTCTTGCCCTTTCCGCCACCATCCGCGTTATCTCACTTTCTCATCTAAGCACCTTGTGGACACATGCCTCCCCTTCTCCTCCACCGCTATGGCGAGATTCCTGCGCTCAACAATCCTCTCACGCTAGACGATCTACGCACTGCCGACGAGTATATCGAGTTTGTCCTGGAGCGTCGCGGTATGTTAGTTCTATCCATTCTTTTCCGTCACGGGTTGACTTTTTCTTTTTGACTACACTAGACAAAGTGCCGCGAGGGGTTCCACTTGCCACACAGCAGCATCTAACTAGTGCGATAATGTGGAAAGAACGAATGCGTACTGAGATGTGCAATACTTACTGTGTGCCCTGACACTGTTCGTGATTACGTTCATGCACGACTGATGATACAAACAGATGCCGCCGCTGACATTCACCCTGAACAAGAAGCAGGCATGGGACAGTTGATGCAACACCCTGGCCAAATGCAACAAGCTCTACAGCAGAGCCTACACGATGGGCTAGCTGGCGTACACGAAAGAATGGACAACTTGCAGGCCAACATGCAGCAGATGTTCACCGATGTGCAGCAGAATTTGGACCAGAGTTTCGCCGGCATGGAGGCAAGATTAACTGGCATAGAGGGGAGATTGATCAGGATAGAGGAAAGACTGACGAACATCGAAGCAGACGGCCATTCAAGCAAGAATCGCAGGGGTCGAAGAGAGGGGCACCGCGACAGACGAGAAACTTGATACCGAGTTGCCAGTGCAGTGCGAAGGGGTGTGGCGCGTTGAAAGTATCAGTGCAAAGGTATGCATGTAAGTATATCAGTTGTACATTCAGTAATCTGGTTTCCTCAGGCTTGGAACCGTCAATGTGGGACGAGACTGGTTGACTTGTATGCGAAGGTGCCCTACAACACTCATGTCCCCTATGCCGACATAGTACGTCCTTATCTGTTTCGCATCTTCCCCGAAGCTGACTCCATTCATACAACAGCCGCGGATTCGGAACTTTCGGCATCTTCAGAGGGCGAGTAACGCAACAGTCAACGCCTGGCTGCGCTTTTACCATTGCTCCCGGCCGGGCACACTGGCTCAGAAGAAAGTCCGGCTATGTCTCATCCTTGGTCTTAATCCCTACCGATGCGATGCTTTCCGCCTGGGTTAATTTTACTATTGCAAGGCACCTCCATATGTGCAGTAGTGGTCAAAAGTCTCTGCGCTCTGATAATAGGGTGTTAGCGCAAATACTTTTGACCACCTCTATAGCCTTCCACCGTGCTTCCATTATTTCCCCCCACATATACACACTAATAACTGTACTCATGCATCGTACTCGTAGACAATGACTGTAACCACTCCCCTGACCATATGCATTGACGTTCACACTCTCATCACATCTGCAATGGGTCCGCAACGGAACATCTACCAGCTACCTTCTGAAGCGACCGGTATTGCATAAATGACCCAGAATGAAACCACGTGACGCAGAGTCATTGGTGACAAGCGAACAGGGGTCTTCTTCGCTGCACTTTTCCTCTCATATTCATGCCAACTTTGGTTCTGACAACCACTTCGACGTCGATGCTGTCAATTCCCAATCACCCGCGTCCTCGCCCGACGATCCTATGCATTAAGTATGCTTTACTCGTATTCCTGGCGGGTAGAATCAAAGTATCACGTGATATGACGCCCGTCGAGCTGGGATCAGGCGGAGTGGTACATAGCTGCGCCTTCTTGCTCTTTCCGCTTCTTCCACCATCCGAGATATCTCGGCAGGCAGTCTTGCACACTTCGTACATGGAACAAACAGATCCACGGCCTCGGATTCACCCCGCACAGCCAGCAGACGGACAGTTAATGGACTGCCTGTGCTTATCGCCATCCGCGTGGCGTTGTACCCGTCCTTACTGATCCAATCACCATACAAGACGTGGCCAAGGTAGAACAGTATCGTAACCACGTCCACGAAGCTATTTGTACGTTCATCTTCTCATTCCTTACCAAACAAAGCTCAACCTTTGTGTTGCATAAGATCATCCTCCGCCGAACTGCCCCCGGGTCA